ACTTGTTCCTCCTTGACCTTTAGGCCACTTTGGACCTTGCTGCAGAGTTGTAAATCCCAGCTCAATCCCCTGCCCAGAGTGTGAGTGGGTTTGGGGGCTCAGTGGGGGTGAGGACACAGTTCTGTACATGAAAAGCTGTAGCAAAGAAAATAAGAAGCAGTAGCTGGACACAAAACTCTTCTCTTTGGACCCTCTTGCAAAATGAAAACTGTTTTTCTGCCCCTGATGGGCTCCAAGGATCTAAGCTGTCAGATGTGATGGCTGCTGAGGTGAAGGATAACATCTGGAAGGAGCCAGCTGTAGGAGTCACCTCTGGGTGACTCCCAGTGTGGTCTGCAAGGACTGGGGGCTGCCAGTTGGGGTTCAGGGCAGCCCTTATTCCCCAGAACTCCTTGGTCTGGGAAAGCAGGGGCTGCTCCTCAGTAGCACCAGCAACTCTGGATTTGGGATGCTGTGAGCAATTGGTTGATTGTTCCTTGGGAGAAACCAGTTTCTTAGGGCACAAGATAAAGCTCATTTCTGGTCTCATCCCCTCCCCTGCCTGCACCTCAGCTGATCTGTGCTTGGGCACAGTGAGCTGGACGTGGTTCCCTGCCAAGTTCCTCTGCTGGTTTGGAAAGCGAGTGGGAAGCTGGTGAATCTCCTTTCACATTTCAAGATTTAGTAATTGACTCTTTCCACTGCTGGAGAGAGGAGCTGAGTGGTGGGAGAATCCCCACAGTGTGCCTGTACCATGACAGGAGCTCACAGGAAGTCCCTGGTTGGTCCCACTCCTCCTGCCTTCCACCTCCAGGAAATTCCTGCTGATTTTGTGGCTCCTATTTTCCTCCTCCTGCAGCCTAACACCACCTCCCACTGAGGGCTCCTCACTTCCACACAGGAGACAGAGCAAAACCTCGTGGATTTTAGTCCATGTAAGTGATACCAGAGCCTGGCTGATGTTCCCAGACCCAGTGGAGGAGATGCTCACCCTACAACACCATCCCAAGAGGGTTTGACTGGTTGAGGTTGTGCCTTTGACTCCCACACCCAACAGAGCAGTCAGCACCTGAAGAAACAGGGACCATCCCATGAGGAATAAATAGGAGAAGCAAACCTTGCTGAGGGTGGTTGGAAGAGCCAATGTGACCACCTAAACCCAAACTGGGGGGTTACACCATTATCCCAAAGCAGCTGAAAGGTGGGATCAGAGGGGACATGCTGAGCTGGGCAGGGAGTGCTGCCACCTATGGCTGGGGTCTCCCTGTGGCCTTGGAGCCATCATCTGTACCCTCAGCTAGAGGGGAAGGAAAGACCCAAACCCTCCAGGGCTGGCACGTTCCCTGAGTTACAGTGGGAGAGGAGAGCAGGAGCAGGGCAGGAGGGAAAGAGCCCATCCCGCCTCCAGCCATCCATCCCAGTGATGTCTGTCCCAAGGCAGGACTTTAGGAACTCCATTTCACATCCTGTGTGCCAGAGTTGGCATTTTGCAGCAGAGCCCAGCCCAGTGCTGCCTGTCAGGGTCAGACACCTGCACCAGACCTGGAGCAGCCTGGCAAGGTGGAAAACCCTTCCTGCCAACCAGCCTGAGCATGGACACCGAGGCCAAACATCCCACCTGCCCTGGATCAAGCATGTCCCCCCATCAGTGCTGCTGTCACCCTGGCTGTGCTCTCCCAGCTCCAGGACAAGGTCACCACAGTGCTGTGAGCAAGGTGCCACCCCAGCCTCGCTGCCTCTGCCCTTGCTGGGGCACAGCAGGGCCAGGGCCACGGGGGAAGGCGAGGGGGAGCTCAGGGTGACCCCAGAGCAGGAGCTCCCCAGCACCCCCCAGGGCCAGCAAACAGCAGGCAGAGCAGAGTCTGCTGGCAGGCCCAGGGGCACCCGGAATGAAGGGACCAGGACACAGGTCCAATGCTCACCCTGAAGATTTAACCAAACCCAGGAGTTTCCCCGGTGCCAGCACCCACCCAAGGCAGGAGCAGGGCCAGAAGCACAGCTGAGGACCAGCAGCTCCTTCAGAGCAAGTCTGGCACTTCCAGCTGAGTTTGAATAACCTCCTGGGCCATGGGTGGGGCCGAGGTCCCAGGGGTCCCAGATGAGACTGATCAAGGCCATCAGTGGCTGGTAGTGTCCATGGGAATATGTCAGTTTGACCCTGCAGCTTCACAGATGGGGCTTTACTGGGGCACTTTACTGGGCTGTACTGGAGGTCCCCCTCTTGCACCAGGGAGCCAACCCTGCTCCCAGGAGATCCCTGCCTCTGGGAGCCCTTTCCTGAAGGTCTGAGGACCTGCCACCCTTAATCACCCCCTGAAAGGCTTGGAAATTACCAGAAGTATCAGCAAAAGCAGAAGCCCCTTTGCTGGAGCTCTGGCTGGGCCACCAGCTCTCAGGATTTGTGTGCAGCTGCTTGGTAAGTGTGAGCAAGATGTGCCAGGAGGGATAGAAATTAAGTTGATGTCTGTGGGGTTGTGTGTAGCCCATCCTCACCCAGAGAACTGTGGTCCCCTGAGTCAGGACGGGCCTTGAGAGCACAGGTTTTATGTCAGAAGTTAAGTTTCAAGCCAGAAGTGAGAGGTTTGGTGTTGCTGGTGCAGCAGGTTGAGAGAACACTTGTCACAGGAGGGGTTGGCAGGGGGTTCTGATCCCTGGGTTCCTGTTCCCTGCCATTAATTGGGCAGGGTTAAAAAGCAGTTCTGTTCTGCCAAAGTTGCCTTTCCAGGCTATCCAAGCCTAAAAATGTGTGCCCAGTTCCTCCTTGGTTCCTCCTGCTGCAGGCTCTGAGTCTTGTTTGGGCTTTTTAGGGGTGAGATTAAAGGGATTTTTCCTCTCCAGGGATGCTCTCCCATGGCACATTCCCAAATGCTGCTATCAGGCCCCTTACCCACCTTCTGCCTCTCTGCAAGTCTGTCCCTGTGGGGAAGTTTCAAGCCGCAAATCCCTTTTTTTAATTCATTCTGCTCTGGGGTCCCCACGGGGGCTGGAGGAGGGGTGGCCCCAATTCCCCCCGGATTCCCCGTGAGGGACAAAAAGCCCCGGGTGCTGGTGGCTGTTTCCAGCGGCCGTGTCCCAGACGGGTGTGAGAATGGCTCTTTGTTCCCTGTTTCTAATTGCTGGGCTCGAGCAGCTCGTTAACAGCGCTCCCTGCGCCCTCCGGTCCCTGCAGCCGCCGCTCGGGGGGAACCCCCGCGGGGAAATGCCGGGGTTCAGCCGCTGAGGTGGATTTCGGGATGACACATAAAACCAGCTCAAAGTGAGCTTGGGGTGAAGCTGCCAGCGTTCCTCAGCTCTTTATGCAGCCGGGGGGGATCCAGGGGGTGCCAGCGGGCTGTTCATGGCCCGAGCAGACATCCATCAACAGACATCCAGAGTCTCCCCTGCAAACCCTGGTGGCAGAAACCTCTGGGTTTTTTGGGCGCCAGGGGCGGTACCAGCCCCACATCCATGTGCAGTGAGTTTGGGGAGCGCCGGAGGACACGCGATTTGTTTGCTCTGAGCCCAAAGCATCGCAGAACCCTGCGGAGGGATCAGGGTTCCTTCCCACGGTGCCCCGACTGGTCTGGGGCAGAGCAGAGCCCAGCCCTGTCCATACAGACCTGGGAGCACAATCAGCCCTTTGGGAAGCTCCATATGAATGATTTAGGAACAAGTTTTGGACTGGTTCGTGGAGGGAGCTTGAATTTGCATTTGAAAACTGCGGAGGAGCTGGTAGTGCTGGCGGGGGGACGGGAGCACTGGCCGGGTGCTATCAATGGGAAACTGTTCTGTCGAACGCTGCCAGGGCCAAAAAATGTGAACTCTGCAGATTGCTGGCTCGGCTCACGGGCAGAAGTGCTGGCTCCCGTGTCGGCACCCGGCGGCGCCGCTCCCGGCGATTAACGGAAGCTGCTTTTCCTTCGCTGCCAAAGTTCTGTAAAGATGGGGTGGATGAGGGGTGCCCGGGATGTGAAACGGGGGGATTCCACTCGCTGCACTCGGGAGCTGGGAATGCTGCTTGTGCTCTCTAGTCCTTATCAGCCCGGCGGTCAGTTTGCCTTCACAGTGGGAGTGGAGCTGAGTCCAGATGCACTCGTGTCACCTCAGACCCCCTTGTGCAAACCTGTGGGGTCACTGCCCGTCCGTGTCCCAGTCCCAGGCTGCAGCACCCCAGAAGGCATCATTGTGGTTAATAAATACTCCTTTTTTGCCTCTGTTCCCAGCCTGTTTCCCACCACTCCCCCTTTCCATCAGCGGGATGACCTGCCCCCAGCACCCCCCGCCCCGTCGTGCCCATCCTTCACCCTTCCTCCCCAGCTCCCATGGGTTCTCTTGCTGGAGATGAGGCTTTTGGGTGAGGGTATCTCCCTACATCTCCTTGAGCCCCAGAGAAAATGAACCATGCCCAGTTCAGGTGGAATGGCAGCAGAGCCAGGGGCACCCAGACATGCTTGAAGGACACCCAGAGATGCTATGAGAGCACCCAGAGATGTTGAGGGGCCACACGGGGATGCTGGAGAGGCACCCAGGGATGCTGGGGGGGCCATGCAGAGAGCTGGGATGAGCTGGGCCCAGCAGCTTGCCTCAGTGTAATGTGTGCACAAATAAAACCCTGGAGAGCTGGCAGTGAGCTGGAAATAATGGCATTACAAGCGCTTCCTTGCTTCTGTTTGGGCTGGATGAGGCTTTTTGGGGCCGGCGGAAGGGAAGCAGCACATGGGGGTTTGCTCCTGGTTTGAGCACCGCTCTGGAGGTGAGGGGGGAAGGACACAGTGGCTTGGCAGGAGAGCACAAGGGTAGGGACAGTGCCCTGGTGTGGTCCTCACCTCCATCCTGGCATCCATGTGCTCACCAGCACCCCAAGGTTTGCACCCACGGAGCACCCCCGACTTGGGAAAGCCCCGCTGCTACCCGCCGAGTCCCAGCACGGGCAGGATGAGTATCCTGGGCAGAAAGCAGAGGGAATGGGAGGACAAATAGGCAAATGGTAAAATGTATTTTCTTTGTTTCCTCTCTTTCTCCTTTTGCCAGGAGAGGCGTGAGAGCTCTAAGGCAGGATGCCGCTGGTGAAGAGGAACATCGAGCCCCGGCACCTGTGCCGGGGGGCTCTGCCCGACGGGGTGACGAGTGAGCTGGAGTGTGTCACCAACAGCACTCTGGCTGCCATCATCAAGCAGCTGGGCAGCCTCAGTAAGTCATGGCACAGCAATCCCAGCGTGGCATGGTGGTGGAGCGCTGGGTTGCTGGTTGGATGCTGCTGGGATGCTGGTTGGATGCTGCTGGGGTGCTGCAGTCGCTTCCTCTGGTTCCAAACACAGAGAAACAGGGGCTATGAGAGCCATGTGGGCTGCAGCCCCTGCTAATTTAGTGGGAATTAAATTCAGCTAATTGAAAATAGGAGAATGCTCAGGGCCAAGCCCAAACTGGGGACTTTTAAAGACATCTTCCTCCCACAGCTGGTCTGTGCAGTGGGGGCCAAAAAGCCTCTATGAGCCCCTTGCTTCTCCACTTGGCCAGAAATAGGAAGGTCAGGTGAAGGTCTAAAATACTCCAACCTATGCTTTTTAATGTGAGAGCTTTATGAGGAAGAGAGGTCTATATAAAAGGTCTAAATCCTCAGCTGTCTTCCTTTCCTGCGACTTAGCAGAAAAGGGACGGACAAGAGCACACCGGTGTGAAGGTTTAATAGGGACAACCTACTTCACTGCTGAATATCCAATTAAAAAAGAGAGAGAAGCCCAGGCTTTTCAGGGCTCCCCCTCTTCTCTCCCACTCCAGAACTAGATTCTTCTCTAAAATACTCCCAGAAAAATAAACCCTGTATTTATGGAGCTGCTGGAAGTGACACGGGTGCCCAGGCCATGGGTACCTTGTCCAGAGGAAAAAGAATCCAAATACAAATGACTGAGTTGGGTGAATGGTCTGAGAAGGTATTAAAGACACCTTGATTTTAGGTGCTGCTTGATATGTGGGTTTGGAGGAAACTCTGAGGATCTGAGGTGCTGGGCTGGAATGGATGCTGGAATGGGCTGGGTGTTGGGCTGGGTTCTGGGATGGGATAGGGACTGGGTTGGGATATGGGATAGGATGGGATGGATGCTGTAGCCTACAGATGTCAGCAATGCTCTGCCAGACTCCTTGCTCAGCCCCACGATAGGAATAGCCCTAACAAAGAGCTGTTGTAGCAATGCATAGGATGCTGCAGGAAAATAACTGCTAAAGTTGTTATAAAGTTAATATAAAGTTATTATAAAGTTAAACAAGTCACAGCTTCTCCCTGCTGTGGAACTCCCTGCTGCCCTGCTCCTGGTTTCCCACCTTCAGGGCTGGATTTCCACCGGTCATGTGTGATGGTCACTCTTTTGGCTCATCTGTCCTGGTGGATCCAAAGGCTTTTTGGGACACTGTGAATGTTCTGTGCCCCTGTGGGTACTGAAAAGGATGCTTGAGGGTGTTCGTGGGGGTGGTGTTTGTGCTCCCCTCCCTCTGCACAGGGCTTTGGGAGAGAGTGAGGCTCAGCTCCCAAAAAAACAAGGCTGTGAAGAGCATGGAGCCACTGGGGAGGTGTGTGTGCAGGGGATGGGCTGGTGATGGGCACTGTGTCCCCTGCCAGGCAGGCACGCTGAGGACATCTTTGGGGAGCTGTTCAATGAGGCCAACAGCTTCTACATGAGGATGAACTCGCTGCAGGAGAGGGTGGACCTGCTGGTCATCAAGGTGACACAGCTGGACTCCACCGTGGAGGAAGGTGAGAGCCTGGGGCTGTTTTGGGGTGACAGCCAGGGCATGTGCTCCTGGCTGGACCACCCACCATGCCTTGTTTGGGGGGCTGAGGCCACCTCTGTACCCCTTCTCCTTCCTGTGCCCACAGTTTCGCTACAGGACATCAACATGAGGAAAGCCTTCAAGAGCTCCACGGTGCAGAACCAGCAGGTTGTGTCTCGCAACTCCATCCCCAACCCGGTGATGGAGATGTACCAGCGCTGCGACAAACCCCCACCACTCAACATCCTCACACCCTACAGGTACAGGCACATCACCTCCTGGGGAGAACAAGGGGGTCCTGGGGCGTTCTTGGGAGCCTTTTCCAAGAGAGGTGTCAGGTGTGCACCCCATTTGCTGCTTGATGAAGCCTGAGAGGCCGATTTCTGCAGTTGCTGTGCCACCACCCCCATTGTGAGGGCAGTTGGGATGGGTGACACCCCCAGTGGTACTACGGGTAGTGACCTCTGTGTTGGACGTGTTCCTGGTGGGACAGCAGCTCACCGTCATGGTTGTACCAAAGCCCATGTGCAGGGGAACGGGTGTCTTCTCCTGTGGCTGATAACTTCTCTCCTCCCTTCCCAATGCTCAGGGATGACAAAAAGGATGGCCTCAAATTCTACACTGACCCCTCCTACTTCTTCAACTTATGGAAGGAGAAAATGTTGCAGGCAACAGAAGATAAGAGGAAGGAGAAGCGCAGACAGAAGGTAACGGGCAGGTGGGGGACTCTGAGGGGCTGGAGCTGGGGTTGCCTGGCACCTGGGGAACAGTCACCTTCCTGTGCATCCTCTGCACTCCCCTCTACTGCATCAGGTGCATCTCCTGGGGTGGGGTGATGCTCCCTGGGCACTGCTAATGGTCCAGAGGAGCTGTGCTGGAGGTGGAGCTGTGGCTCTGTGTGCCTGCAGGAGCAGCGGCTGGTGGAGGACTCCACCCGGGAGGTGAAGAAAGTGAGGAAAGCCCGGAACCGGCGGCTGGAGTGGAACATGATGGCGTATGATAAAGAGTTCCGGCCCGATAACAGGTTCTCACCATCCCCCTATCACATGGCGTCATCGGAAGGATCACTGTCCCCAGATAATAGGCAGGTTCTACCTACTGCACGTTCAGCTCACCGGCTCTGCTTTGCTTTGCTCTGCTCCATCTGTGGGGGTTCGTGTTCCCGCAGCAGGGTTGGGGTGATAAGCCGAAAGCCTGTGGTAGCTTCATGAGAGTTGGTACCCCCAGGGTGCCATCCTGGACCTCAGGAGCAGCCTTGGCATTGGGATAAAATCAGAGCACTTTCCATTTAGCAGTTATGGGCAGAGAGAGTGGTTCAGCTGTGTTGGTGTCCTCCTCCCCTCTGCTATCTCTCTGCTGTCTTGTACATCTATATTTTTGTGGCCATTTTTTGTTTCGTTCGCTCAACCCCAAAATACTCCTGTACCCCCCACCCC